CCTACTTGATAGTTTTTTACCGTAAGGTGTGTCATAACCTTGACCCAGGGTCAAAGTGACAAGTTCAAGTTCACTGGCAGAAAAATTATAAAAAGCATGACCGGTTTATAATTTTTAAATTAAAAAATGTCAATATTACACTCAAAGATTATTTAGGACCAGAGGATGTGTCATTTTTTCTAACCAAGGTCATTTTTGCAAGTTCAAGGGCACATTTGCAAAATTGCAAAATGACACATTAAAAAACTGAAGCAGGGGTATTATTTTGTGAGGTAATGCTCACAGTACCTCTAGTTCGAGCTTGTTGTGGATAGGTTTACATGTCGATTAACATAGTGTTGATTGCCCTTCGGTGGCCGGGGGCTTAAAGAATAGGTTGTTGGCCTAATGGGATTATCATAAGACTCAGGGGACAGAACTAGGGAATTCCCAACAGCTAACTTTTCTGCCATCATCTACTGCAGCCTGTAGAGGGATGTAGAGGGAAGCTGATTGTATATCCATAATCATTGAATAAGCAGGTAAAGATGCACATTTGGTTAGTTCCTTCCTCTCTTTTCTTTCTCATGAAAAACTTTTTTGAAAAATTCATTTGATTTCAAAATCATTTCTTTACAAATTAATTTTTGATAGAAAAAAAATGCTAAGAAGGAGCTTGTCCATGACACAAAGGATCATTTAAAGAGAAATTAAGACCACTATTATAGGACACAGGTAAGACCATTCTTTTTTTATCCATCTTTCTCAAATTCGGTTAAATACTAAATTAAGGGGATTAATTCCATGGGATGTTATTTTCACATTTTCACATTTTTGTGTCCTTTGACACATTTGTGGTTAATCGCACTGGGGACGTGGAGACTGGTCCTTCTGAGGTCTTGTGTCACAGTAGGTGCTGGCACAAAAAAGATCCCTCACTGCTCAACTGGCCCTGAGTGCTGAGTATAGGTCTAAATTTGCAGTCCTCCACCAGCAAGTGGTGGCGTCTCCATATGTGTGAAAAATTCTCTAGAGGAATATATCCCTTACCAAAAATATTACCTTCCTGCAAACATTTGCTGCAAGTCTGCAGCAAACATTGCTGCAAACTTGCTGCAGACATTGCTGCAAGCTTGCTGCATTATGAAGCTAAGTAAACCATGGCAGCCTATACAAAGCCTTTGGGTTTGCAGCAAGTTTGCGGCAAGTATGCAGCAAGCTTGCAGCAAACATTTTACCATGCAAATGAGGTTTGCTGCAAGTCTGCAGCAAACACTGGATTTTCCAAATATGGAAACCTTGCTGCAAGCTTGCGGCAAACATTGCTGCAAGCTTGCAGCAAACATTGCTGCTAACTTGCGGCAAGAAATATAATTATTGTATTTGGCACATTCCTGCGTACAAGCAGCAAGTTCGCAGAAAGCCTTTGTCCTGACCTTAATCTGTTAACAATAGAGAAAATCCACCACATGTGTCTGAAATGATGCAAGCTAGTTTCTGAAGTGTTGATAGTCTCTCTTTATGTTTCTTGACAATGTTCACATTCTATTCTTAATAAAAAATATAATTTTTTTGACAAGTACAGAAAATTAAAAACTTCGCACATTCATTTAACAATAAAATTTTACGGTTAATACTTATTTATTTGAAAACATATAAACATTTATGATAGTTGATTTGGAACCTTTAATACATTTAAAGAAACATACAATTGTGATATTAAAATAAAGATTAAAATTCATAAATAGATTAAGATTTGACCTAGCAAGTACATGTTACTTGAACATGTTACTTGAACATCCTTTAAAGAGATAATTGTTTCATATCAAAATAAAACAAAATCAGATCTTACCAATTAGATGTTGTGTATGCCAATATACACCTACATTCAGAATTTTGCTTTTGTAATCATTCAACATGTTCAAAATGGGAAGTATTCCTAACAAAATACTGAAACATCTACACTTCAATTCAAACATTTCAAAATGGCGAATTCTGTGTTGACCCCAGTACAATCTGCATTTCATTGGCTGATTTGACTTGTTTACTGTTCTTGTGAACTTCCTGCAAACATTCAATTTGTTAAATGTTTCCTGCGAACTTGCTGCCAACAACAGATTGGCGTATATGTTTCTTCCAATGTTCCTGCAAACATGTTGAGTTCCTGTGAATTTGCTGCAAGCTTACAGCAATTGCTGCAATGTTTGCTGCAAGATCGCAGCTAGCGGCAATCATCTGCGAACAAGAAAATTTTCTTCCTGCGAACAATTTTGTTTGCTGCAAACTTGCAGCAGACTTGCTGCAGGTCTGCAGCAAACATAACAGTTTGGTAAGGAATGTTAAACAAACAAACAAAAAAACAAAAACAAAAAAATGATCATGGTTTGATGAATTTGTGGAATTGGTATAAAATAAAAGTTACTTCCCTTGATCCAGAGCATAGCCAGAAGGATGTGTAACCTAGCATTCATTAGCGAGATGTATTCATTTCATGAATAATACTCAAGGGAGGTTTAAATGCAGTGGTTAGATTTGGTACTTAATTTACAAATTAATTGAAACAAGTGCCAACAGGTGCTAACAAACAGCTTTGACTAAAAATGTCAAATGATTTTCTTGTATGTTAATATTGTGATGAGTACATGTACACCACAAAGTTCTTTCAGAAGGGATAAAACATCAAAGTAAAGATAAATGTGTTACATTTGATTCGAATTCAACAAAATAATATTATCATTCCTTATTTATGGCAAGTCCAAGAGTTATTTGAATAAAATTTTTTTAAAGCCAAATGTTGATAAAAACCAATATGCAGGATCAGGCCCTGAGACCATAAACTGAGAAAAGATGAGTCTAAATTTTCATTCTTAATATCTCGAGTTTTATTGCCGTCATGGAAGCTCAGTTGGTAGAGCACTCACTCTGTGATTGGAGGGTTGTGTGTTCAAATCACGGCCGCAACTGACCAAAGTCAATAAAAAATTGGTAGCAACTGTAAAACAACAAATACAATCAATCAATCAAGTTTTATTTTTGATTTCATATGTGTTTAAAAAATTCCATATTCGTATCATATTCAAATACAAACATTTTATGAAAATTTGTTTTGATTATCAAAATTATTTCAGATGTTATATTCATTTGAAAATTTGACTTCAGTCTGTTCTCAGTTTTTTTCTCTTGACTGATAATGTTAGATATACATGTATCTTCCAATAACTTAGACTCAAGTTTCAAAATAAATGAAACAAAAAGCTTTATTGAAAACTCATTAGCTCACCTGAGCCAAAGGCTCAAGTTAGCTTTTCTGATCACATTTTGTTCAGCATCTGTCTGTCCTTCTGTCTGTTTGTCCATCTGTGAACTTTTCATGTTTTTGACTTCTCCAGAACCACTGGGCCAATTTCAACCAAACTTGCCACAAGGCATCCTTGGCTAAAAAATCTTCTTCTGAAGAACAGCAAAGTCAGAATTTGTCATATTAATATGAAAGCGTCCTCAGGAAGTGTAGACTCAAATTTGTTCAATTCATGGTCCCTGGGGCTAGGGTGGGGCCCCAATGGATGAACAAAGCTTTTACATAGGAATACAACGAAAAAAAATCTGTAAAAACCTCTTCTCAAGAATAGCAAAACCATGATTGGTTATATTTATCTGGAAGCATACTCAGGTAGTGTAGATTCAAGTTTGTTCAAATCATGACCCCTGGGGTAGGGTGGGACCACAAAAGGCAATCAAAGTTTCACATAGGAATACATAAGAAAAATCTTTAAAAATCTGATGATGAAGAATAGCAAAGTCATGATTGTTCATATTTATCTGGAAGCATAGTCAAGTAGTGTAGATTCAAGTTTGTTCAAATCATGACCTCCGGGGGTAGGGTGAGACCACAGTAGCTATAGGCACTCAAAGTTTCAAATAGGAATACATAGGAAAAATCTTTAAAAATCTTCTTCTCACAAACAGGAAAGCCATGATTAGTCATATTTGTATGGAAGCATACTCTGGTAGTGTAGATTCAAATTTGTTCAAATCATGACCCAAGTGGTAGGGTGGGGCCACAATTGGCGATCAAAGTTTAACACAGAAAAATCTTCCAAAATATTTCAAGAACACTCAAAGCAACGATTAGTCATATTCATATGGAAGCATCCACAGGTAGTGTAGATTCATATGTTTTTAAATAATGACCCCCAGGTGTGGGGTGGGGCCACAATGGGCCATCAAAGTTTTACAAATGAATACATAGGAAATATCTTTAAAAAACTTATTTTCAAGATCAGAAAATCAATTATTAATCATTTTAAAACAGAAGTTTCCTCAGGCAATGTTAATTCCCCCAGGGGTAGGGTGGGGTCAAAACAGGGGATAATTTCAATCAATATACATGTACATGTATTCACACCATGAGTTATTTCCCCCACTTTTGTTGACTGGGTTCAAGGGCAACATGCATTTTATCAGACCAAACAAAGGCAACAATTTGATTCTTTAGGGCTAGCAAAAATCCATTTTGTTTAACAAAAATGCAAAAACAGCTGTGTGACTAATGTTGTTGGATGATCCTGCCTCAACTAAGGATTAACAAATGTCAATTAAAACATAGAAGTGGTCAAACATCTCATTGACTGCATGTCCAATATTTTTTATTCATCCAATCCTCAGTTTAAAAAAAATACATTGGATATGTTAGGTTTTTACCTCACCTGAGCCTTTGCTCAAGTGAACTTTTTTGATCAAAATTTGTGCATTGTCGTTGTCATTGTAATCATCGTAAACTTTTTCAGAATTTCATCTTCTTCTATGGAACAACTTGGCCTATTTCAACTGAAATTTCCACAAAGCATCCTTGGATGAAGGAGATTCAAGTTTATTAAAAGGAAAAGCTATGCCCTCTTTCATTGGGAGATATTTAAGAATTAGTAAAAATTTAATGGCATCTTTCAAAAATCTTCTTTTCTATAGAGATGTGGAAACAGCAGCTGCATACACAGTCGGACACAAATTGGTGGAAGCAGTAGCACACTTGTAGACTGATGGATGTTGATCTGGTGGAAACAGCTGCAATCAACTGGACTTGGTGGAAACAACTAGAAGAGACAAGCCTGATGGATGTGGATCTGGTGGAAATAGCAGCTGCAGTCAACTGGACTTGGTGGAAACAACTAGAAGAGATGAGCCTGGTGGATGTGGATCTGGTGGAAACAGCAGCTGCAGTCAACTGGACTTGGTGGAAACAACTAGAAGAGACGAGCCTGGTGGATGTGGATCTGGTGGAAACAGCAGCTGCAGTCAACTGGACTTGGTGGAAACAACTAGAAGAGATGAGCTTGATGGATACTGATCTTCCAAGATGTGGAAACAGCAGCTGCAGGACTTGATGGAAACAAATGGAAGAGCTTGATAGATCAGTTGACCCTCCCAAAAGATATACCACAATTACTGTAGATAACTGACACTGATCAGGTATAGGACACAGCCATCATCCAAAATCTTCTTAAGGTAGTCCAATCCTCAGGTTCTAAAAATTAGGAGCAAAGTAATTGAAAATGTTCACAAAAATGTCACTAAATTCACAAAATATAATGGAAATATGCCCACATTATTTCTTCGGAGTTTATCATTATAATCAATCATATTATACATATATATATGGAAAATTATGAAATCTCAAATATAAAAATAAATTTTTAGGAAACATGTTAAATTAAAAAGCTCTAATTTATACATTTTCTAATTGAAAACTGATCAATATATTTTCAGATTAAAAAAAATACATGTAGTTGGACATTTAGAAAAATTGCATATTTTCTTTAATATATAATACAGTTAAACTTCATTATCTCTAACACCATGGATCTTGAATACCATGGATATGTCAAAGTGATTTGGAAGTCCCAACAACTTATTCTTTACGTATTTTACCTTCAATATCTCAAATCCTTGGATATTTCGAACTCTTTCTCTGTTCCATCGAGTTTCAGATAACAAAGATTGACTACTTCTGTGGTAGTATATAGTTCTTATATTATAACTTAAATTGTTATACATGCATAATATTAATACGTATCAGGTACTATAAAAAGCGGGTGATAACATTGCAAGACATAACAGTTCACTTCAGTTTTTATTTCATACTCATGAACTTAGTCAATTATAGTACTCTATATAGAGAGACAATTTCTTTTTGTTTTTTCACTTTTTGGCATCTTATTTTAGGCCTACAGTATTAATTTTGAACTCATGTACTAGGAATATCAATTATCTTTATCAGAACTGTCCCACTGAATGAAAGGGAACTCTTTTTTTAGGTGCGCATGATGCAACTTCATGGTGTGTAGTCTGTTGGTCTGTTTGTCAACATGTGAAACCCATGTGTATTTCAGGGTAGGTATGTTAACTGTCAATTTTTTTCTTAAAAACTGCATAAGGCATATTTTTTTCTGATCTCAAATTTAATCTAGCTTTATTTTCTCTTTCATTGATTATCTGCTGGGAGTCTAGATAATTAATTTAACTGAAGCTATAAAGTAACATGTTGTGAAAATATTTCCTTGTGTGAGACAAGAGTAACAGGTAACTCTCATTTTGACTACAGTTTCTCTGATTTCAGGAGTAGTCTCCCCTGTTTAAGATCAATAATGGCAGATATACAATGCAGTATGCTGTCTGGTCATCAACAGGGAGTTTTGACACCTGTCGTATCTCTACCAATCACCTCTGTAACCTTTGTTGTGTTCATCAGACAGGTAAGAAAACAAGATAATAAATTAAAATAATTTTAATAAGATAAATGATAAAAAACATTTACATGTGTAGACTCATATAAGAAAATGTCACATTCTACAACTATACATCATTAACATATCCACATTTTCCCCATTTACACAGTTGATAGAATCAGTGCATAATAAAACATAGCAACAATTATTACATTTATTTAATAGAATTCACAAACTATGTATTAAATACAAATTTCATACTTTTAAATTAAATATCAGCATCACCCCCCCCCCCCCCCCATTTTCACACTTACAACTTCCTTTTTAATTTTGGATCTGTTAGTGATTTACTGTAAGCTAGTGTCTTTAGATTTTTTATCAATGAGCTGATATCTTTTAGATCTAAAGTATTTTCTTTGAGATTTATGTTTTAATGGTTTTTATTTCATTTTTAAGAAATTTTGCCTATTTTGTTGCTATAGATAATGGACCACTTTACTTCCTTTTGTAACAGGTGCCCCTACAGATTCACAAAGTTCCAATGTTGAGTTTCCATGACCTTATTCAGTGAGTGTACAAGTATGATATTTAATTCTATCAAGATTACTTGGTCCTAAAGTCAAATTTATACAGTCTTTTAACAAACATTTAATTGTCTTCTTCTGTCATATTTAATTTAAAGTCACTAGGCAACACTGAAGATTTCCACTTATTGCTTTTCAGTCCACGTCAGGAAAAGGAATAAAGTTGACAGGACTTTCTGCATTTTCTGCACTTTCTGCACTTTCCTTGGTAGCAGCTTACGATGGAACCGACAGCAGTAGACATAGCCCACTTCATCAAAGGTAAGTCTCTGGAGTAGTGTTTGGTAGCAATTTTCGTACTCTGTCCTGCATCGAAGCTATAGGTCCAAGGCAAATCTTCTCTGCATGGATTCTCTTATGTCTTTGGTTTTTCTCAGAAATGTGTGACTGCTGAATGGAGCATTAGCTGTCTGTTTTCTTTGAGAGTTAAAGAAGTGACACAAGTCTTTAAGCTTTCAATGACATGTCCTTGTTTTTCAGATGCACCAGATGCAGTGGCACTATCTCCATCACTGGTGAAATGGGAAATGACTAGTGGACGGTCATCACTTTGTAACTCACCAATACATTTTGCGTCCCATCTCTTCTCCTCTCCGATGGTTGTCTCCGGAGGAATGGTTGCAGTGCAGTTGTCGTGTCCTGGGCAGGTAACTTCCTTTCCTTTGCTTCTCAGGTGTGCGCCTTTCTTGCATAGTTTATTCCCACAGAACACTGTCACAACATTTTTCCTCTGAGTTACATTTTTACTTATGGTATATTTAGTCACTTGGGTGGCAGCTTGGAATGGGGTTTTTCCAATGGCACTGAAAGTGGCATTATTATATGGGGCATCTCCTTCTGCTCTGATAGGGGTATCAGGAAGTCCATATTTTCATGAAGTTCTTGAATGTTCTGCCTTATTTTCTTCATACTAGTTTTATTCACATCTGTGATAATTTTCCTCACTTTGTTGCAGGTCTGTTGCATGTTGGTGGTTGATGCTGGTTCAGTATTTGCACCAAGAAGTATATCACGCATACCCTCTGTAGTAAGACTGGTATCCAGGTGACCGACAGCCATGGCCACACTTAGCTGTGCAGCTCTACGTCCCCTTCTGGATCATCTCACCACTTCATACAGCTTTTCTTGGTGACTGATATAGTGGCACTTCTTATATCAGATGGAAAGGATCCATGCCAGGCCTCGTTTTTCCTCCCCATGCTGATTCCAGTCCAGTGAAACGTCACAGTCTGGAAACTTCTGTAAGTGTTCTTTAAAAGCCTGATTCCACAATTAAGCAGTCTTTTCTTGGTGAAGGACTTTGTATAGTTTTGAGTTTGGGTCATCTGACATGGTTTCTGTGTAGGAGTCTACAGGTTGGACTCTACACTGAATTAAAGGGAACTTTTTTTCAGGTGCGCATGATACAACTTCCTGGATGGTGTGTAGTCTGTCAACATGTGAAACCCATGTGTATTTCGGGGTAGGTATGTTTACTGTCAATTTTCTTTCTTAAAAGCCGCATAAGGCATCTAATTTCTGTCTAAGCATTAATCTTTATTTTCTCTTTCATTGATTATCTGCTGAAAGTCTAGTTAATCAATTAATTTAACTAATGCTATATAGTAACCTATAGTGAAAATATTTCAGAATCCTTGTGTGAGACCTAAAGCGTAACATGTAACTCTCATTTTGACTACAATTTCTCTGATTTCAGGAGTAGTCTCCCCTGTTTAAGATCAATAATGGCTGCAGATATACAATGCGGTATGCTGTCTGGTCATCAACAGAGAGTTTTGACGCCCATATTTCTACCAAACACCTTTGTTTTGTTTATCAGACAGGTAAGAAAACAAGATAATAGATTAAAATAATTTTAATAAGATAACTAATAAAAAATAAAACATATTTACATGTACAGACTCCCTCATTGATTATCTGCTGAAAGTCTAGTTAATCAATTAATTTAATTAATGCTATATAGTAACCTATAGTGAAAATATTTCGGAATCCTTGTGTGAGATCTAAAGAGTAACAGGTAAATCTCATTCTGACTACAATTTCTCTGATTTCAGGAGTAGTCTCCCCTGTTTAAGATCAATAATGGCGAATATACAATGTGGTATGCTGTCTGGTCATCAACAGAGAGTTTTGACACCTGTATACCTGTATCTCTACCAGTCACCTCTGTAACCTTTGTTGTGTTCATCAGACAGGTAAGAAAACAAGATAATAAATTAAAATAATTTTGATAAGATAAATAATAAAAAATAAAACATATTTACTTGTACAGACTCCCTCATTGATTATCTGCTGAGAGTCTAGTTAATTGATTAATTTAATTAAGCTATATAGTAACATGTATTGAAAATATTTCCTTGTGTGAGACCTGAACCTGTACAAACGTACATTTCTGACACTATATAAGGATTATGATGAAGTGCACAATGAGTATGGATATCCTCATGAATTACTTTACTCAAATGCATGTAGTTTTGTCTTATTTTCTGTTCTGTCCTATATTTGATGTGTAGCATTAACAATTTCTCTTTTTTTAAAGTTTTAAGATTTGGTGACTGCATGTACCTAGTAGCTAGGGAATTAAGCTGAATTCACGTGGGTTTGCTTGACATTACCAAGGACAAGGCTTTGTGTCTCAATATGAGTGAAAAATTCTTGAAAGGAATGTTAAACAACAAATGAAGAAAAAAAAACAACCAAGGACAAGGACCCTTCAAGTATGGAGAGTTTCTTTGATTACAATGTTTTACTTTTTTTTTCTTCATTTTTTACTGAAATCTGATGAATACCTCTAGATCTTGTTTCATTCATTTGCAGAAAGCCTGAGTGAAGAAATTTAAGAGGGACATCCTTGAGATCATATGGAGTTCTAAGCGAGACACAATGCAGATATCCAAATGTTCAAAGCTAATTAATGTTTTTCATGTGTTTTTAAAATCGAAAACATTTTTAAAAACATTTTTGTAATGGGTGTTCGAATTATGAAAGGGTATGGGGTTGCCCAATTCGGACACGTGGGTTTTCTCCGGGTACTCCGGCTTCCTCCCACACTGACCCCATTTTTTTCTTTTTCTTTTATGTCATTGAAATAACCATTAGTTATTGTTATCGTTAAATAGATGAAGTAGTTGAAGGCTAGTTGTATAAGTAGACCTTTACAATACCCTGGGGCAATACTGGTTGGAACTTCAAGTTCCTTGGCCGCTACGGTAGCCAGGCTGGCCCGGGGAGGAGAGGTTGAAAATGCGACTAGTTGTAGGCTACCTTGTCTTTCATGCTCTTTGTTTTTAGTTTATCTAAAATTAAACATTATATATATATATTGCAGATAATGAAAAATATTAAATTACAGAAGTGTTCCTAGAATGTACATATGTTAGCTATTGTAATAATAAATGTTAATTCATTGAGTATGAAATGTGAAGACTAAATACGCAGTGAGAGTAATTGATAAATTTTGAAGAAAATGTTAAATTGTGATTTGTACAGTAAATGTTAGATTTCAATTTGAAAATGTTATACATGCATTGTGATTTGTAAATGTTATACTGTGATTTGTAAATGTTACATTGTGATTTGTAAATGTTAAATTTTCTGAATCATTGGCAAGTTTTGTGCAAAAAATGAAGAAAAAAAACAAAAAACAAAAACAAACAAACAAACAAAAAAAAAACAACCAAAAAAAGAACATAACAGAAAAAAAACAAAACAAAATCAGAAGTACACAGAAAAAAATGATAAAAATAATAATAAAAAAAAAAAAACGACCAAAAAAAAAAAACAACCAAAAAAAAAAACAGAAAAAAAAACAAAAAAAAAACATAAAAAAGGAACAAAACCAAAATAGCACAAAACTTTTAATGCTGCCTGCTTGGATTAACATGTTTAGCATGTTTTTTCAAGCAGAAGGTTCCAAGCCCTTGAAAGCAGAGGAGAAGTTTTGGTATTATATGTACAGTGTATATGTACATGTAGAACATTATCTAATATTTATACCCCCACTCCAAAGGAGAGGGGGGGTATACTGTTTTACCCTTATGTGTCTGTCTGTGTTCTTTGTCTGTCTGTCCTTAACAAATTTT